AACAATCATCACTAAGGTCCCTGGGTGGCACAAACAGTTTGCTTTGGACCACTAACCTAAAGGTTGGTAATCTGAACCCATAAGCGGCACTAGGGTAGAGCAGCCTGATAATCTGCTTCCATAAAGATTGATTTCGTTGTTAAGTATCATCAAGTCGGTTCTGACTTACAGCAAGCCTGTGTAGGGTTTTTGAGGAGCGGCTGGTGAACTTGAAATAGCAAAGAAAAAAGAAAAGTGCACACACACACACACACACACACACGTAATGGCGAGAATGTGAACATTATTCATTCATGCACATGGGAAAACAGAACCAGCTCTATCAGTGGAACTCTTTCTGATTTCAGTATGATGTTTCTAACGCTGCAAATGCAATGGTGATAAAAGAGATTTCGTTTCCTTCTCTTTTTTTTAATGGGAGGAATTAAAACCCATCCAAGTTGCCCAACAGTCGTTGGTTTGCCCACAGCTGACTGTCTGGTGGGGAGGGGGTATGTTGGGGATTTGCATTGGCTTGGACATAGGACCACATGGTTCCATGACCAGAGACTAGAGTAGACACCGGTCATCCGCCAGCACAGATGGCTGGGCTGGGGTGGGTACCTGAGTCTTGCTGACTGATTGGTTTCTCTCCACAGCCCTGACCCCAAAAAGGTCTCAGTGGTCTTAGAGGGGACCGTGAGCGAGATATCACATAGGGCACTGGCAAGGGAAGGGAAGGAATCTGAGTGAATTTCTGTTCTGCAAAACCAGATACAGGTTCCTGGGTGGAGCTAACGGTTTGTGCTTACTGCTAACCTAAATGGTGGCTGTTGGTGCCCACCTAGCGGCATCGAGGAAGAAAGGTTACAATTTCAAGATTACAGTCAAGAAAACTCGATGGAGCAGTTCTGTGCTGTAACACAAAGGGTCGCTGAGAGTCAAAATAAATCCCACGGCAGCAAGTTTGGTTTGCAGTTTTTGAAACCAAACGTGCTCTGGGACAAAGCTCTAGTTTCCTTCTCCAAACCGAGGCCCCAGCCCTTTCCAGGTAGGCAAGGCCCACTCCAGCTCCCCTTCTCCCAGGAGCACGAGGCTGTAGGCCTCCCTCCGACAGCCCAGGTCCAAGCCCACCTGATGAGCACCGGTGTGTAAAGCAGGGCAGCGATGGGCGTCACGTTGATACCCATGAGCATCTTGCTGTCGATATCGGGCAGCCCCATGTTCCCATACTTGACCTCGCGGTAGGTCTCGTCATAGTGCAGAATCAGTTGCATCTGCAGGAGGCCTGCGGGCAGAGAGGGGACTGCCTGGCTCTGGGAGCAACCAAGGAGAGGCCAGAATGCAAGCCTCACACCAAAAGGCTTCTCACCCGCCCGTGAGGACAGAGGGGGAAGTCCAGGCTGGGTCAAGTGTCTGTAATGTCCAGCACTTGAACACAGGACCCTCGCCCACTCACAGAAAGGTTGGGACCTGGGGAGCACAGTCTTGTGTCCTCGCCCCAACCTGGGGCGGCAGCTTCAGCTCCTTGAGTCGCAGAGAGGGAAGTGAAAGAGGAAGGTGGGGTGGCCGGCCCCAAGGTTTCTGTTTTCCCCAGATGTGAGAGGGATGCCTGGGTTCTTCACCCCCTACCCGTACACACACACACACAGCCGTCGCGGGGACCCTCCCGCCGGGCTCCGTACCCAGGTAGACACCGTAGGTGAGCGCGCCACCAGCGCTGGCCGCCAGCACGTTCTTGATCACGCCCAGGCGCTTGCGGCGATAGTAGCGGCGCTCTTCCTCCTCCTCATTGTAGTTGGGGTACGCGCCCACCAGCTCGTCCAGCTGCAGGGCACGGCGCTCGCACAAGTGTCCCCGCGTCCCGACCGCCCTCCCTCCGGGAGACCCGGTCCTCCGCGTTCCTCCCCCACCAGGACCGAGCCCCCCTCTCCCGGGAATCCGCATCCCGGGAACCTCACTCCAGTCCACCAGGACCCCACAACCCGGGACCGCACCCTGACCTGGCTCCCCAGGCAGGACTCCACATCTCAGGGCACCTTGTCCCTCCCACCTCGAGACCCCGTCCTCTGATTTGGGGCACCCTCACTCTCCGCGTCCACGTCCCCGCTCACCGGGGCTTCGGACCCATCGGGAATCCCTAGAGGCCCCTTGTCGCCCTGTGGTGCTGCGGCACCAGCCATGGGATAGATCGACGGCTCCGCCTCCATGGCCCGACCTCGAGGCCGACGGGCAGCAGCTGCTGGCTGAACCCGCGGCGGCTCGGGGACTTCCTCCAGGCCTGGTCTGCCCCGCCCCGTCATCCCGGCCACCCCTCCGTGCTGTGGGCGGGCCGGCCTTGGGACAGAGGGTGTGGGTGTTCATTCTCTGGCCGCCGGTCTAGGAGTTCAAGCCCCACCCCTCCCCCAGCTATCACCCCGCAGAATAACTTTAGGAATTCACTCCAATTTTCTGAGCCTCCACTTGCGCACCCTTACAGTGTGTGCACGCATCATACAACTTCTCCGGTCCATTGCGGTGTTTGCTGAATTAATACCCCTAATAAACTCTGTAAGTCACCTCAGGCCTGTCCTCCAAGCCCCACCTCCAGTTACAGCAGCAAGAACAGGCTAGGAGGCCACCCCCACCACCCCCAACACACACCCGTTCAGTTTGGGCATCTGCAAATGGGCGGGGCTACAGGGAGTCAGCAAAATAGTGGCCATGTGACTCCAAAGGAGGGACCCATCACCCCCTGCCACTGGTGTGAATCCTCTGTTCCTGCCTTGTTCCAGAGCTCAGGGCTCATCACCCAAGTTAGAGCTACCAGGACGATGTTTACACTGGCCCCTCTCCCCACCTTCAAGTCTCAGAATAAGAGGCTCTACTCATTAAGGAGCTCTTAGAGCGTAGTGGTTACCAATCGGGCTGCGAACAGCAAAGTCAGCAGTTCGCAACTACCAGCTGTTCATTGGGAGAAAGATGAGGTTTTCTGCCCCCCTAACAGCCTCGGAAACTCCGTTCAGGGTCGCAATGAGTCGGAACCGACTCAACAACAACTGATGACAAGAATGTTGTTGTTGTTAAGTGCGGTCGAGTCGGTTCCGACTCATAGTGACCCTGTATGGGGTTTCCGAGGCGGTAAATCTTTACGGGAGCAGAAAGCCTCATCTTTCTCCCGTGGTTTTGAACTGCTGACCTTGAGGTTCACAGCCCGATTCGTAACCACTATGGTGCAAGAGCTCCTTGACAAGACGACAAGGGTACCCCCTCCCATTTCCCTTCTGGTTTCCTGGTTCCCTCCAGGCATTGGCCACATGACCCCTCCCATGGAAGTCCGTATTGGCATTTAGCAGAAGAGATGGACACGTTTGGGGTCCTAAAATTCATTGTTACACATGGATTCCTTCTATAATCTGTTACTGTTTTTGTTATGTGCTGTCTTGTAGCTTCCGACTCATAGCAACCCTGTACAGGGTTTCCAAGGAGCAACTTTACCTTGTAACTCAAACTGACCTTGCAGTCTAGTGCTTATCCTACAACGCCACACCAGGACTCCCTGTAATCTGTTAGAAGGTTTTGATTTTAAATGGTTCTTTTAAATTGGATTCATCTCACCTTTTAAAACATGACACAAAGACTATAAATGCGTAGGTTCCAAGCCCAATGATGAAGAATTCTGGTCTTATTAGTGTTTCTCAGAAGCCCTGGGGGCGACATGGCTCTGTGGCTAATCAGAAGGTCCACAGTTCAAACCCAGCAGCTGCTCCTGGGTGATCTGCTTCTGTAAGGATGGCAGCCATCCCAAGTCACTTCCCAGCTTTCAATCACCTGTGGCACCAATGCCCAGTACTAACTGTCCTCTTCTCAAAAGATCTAGAGCTGATTTGGGCTTCAGACAAAACCCTGACTGATGTTGTTGGTTACAGTGGGGTTGGCCCCCAAGTCATGGTGACTCCAAACAGAACGCAGTGCTACCTGGTCCTGAGGCAAGCCCATGATCATTGTTGTAGCAGACCAGTGTGACCCATCGGGTGTTCACTGACTGAGTTTTGGAAGGAGCAAGGCAACCATACACTGGATTCAGAAGAGGTGAATCCTCTTCTGATATCAGATGGATCTTGGCTGAAAGCAAAGAATATCAACAAGATGTTTGCCTGTACTTTATTGACTATGCAAAGTCACTGAATTGAGTGAATCGTGATAAGCTATGGACAACATTGTGCAGTATGAGTATTCTGGAACACTTAATTGTGCTCATGAGGAACTTGTACATAGACCAAGAGGCAGTTGTTCAAACAGAACAATGGAACACCAAATGGTTTAGAATTAGGAAAGGCGTGCAAAGGGTTGTATTGTTTCGCCATATTTATTCAATTTGTATTCTGAGCAAATAATCAGAGAAGCTGCATTATATGAAGAAAAAACGTGACATCAGGATTGGAGGAAGACTCATTAACAACTTGCTTGCTGAAAGTGATGAGGACTTAAAATTCTTACTGATGAAGATCAAAGACCACAGCCTTCAGTATGAAGTTAAGAAAACAAAAATCCTCACAGCTGGACCAATAAACAACATCCATATAAATGGAGAAAAGATTGAAGTTGTCAAAGACTTCATTTTGCTTAGATCAACTATCAACTCTTAAGGAAGAGCAGTGAAGAAATCAAACAACATGTTGCATTAGGCAATTCTGCTGCACAAGACCTCTTTAAAGTGTTCAAAAGCAAAGATGGCAGTTTGAGGACTAAGGTGTGCCTGACCCAAGCCATGGTAATCTCACATGTGAGAGTTGGACAGTGAATAAGGAAGTTGGTAGAAGAATTGATGTATTTGAGTTAAGGTGTTGAAGGACAATATTGAGAGTACCAGGGTCTGCCAAAAGAACAAACAAATCTGTGTTGGAAGAAGTACAGTCAGAATGTTTCCTGGAAGCCAGGATGGCCAGACTTCATCTCTCATACTTTGCACATATTATCAGGAGGGACCAGTCCCTGGAGAAGGACGTCATGTTTGGTAAAGTGGAGGGTCAGAGAAAAAGTGGAAGACCCCTAAAGAGATGGATTGGCACAGTGGCAGCAGCAATCGGCTCAAATGTAGCAAAGATTATGAGGTTGGCACAGAACTGGGCAATGTTTTGTTCTGCTGTGCGTAGTGTTGCTATGAGTTGGTACCGACTCCATGACACCTAACAACAGCAACATAGCCACCCTCTATAGGGCTTGAACCACCGACTTCTTGTTTCACAGTCCAGTGCTCATCCTACAGCGCCACACCAGGAGTCTAGTTTCTGTTTTGTGACGGTTATGTGCCATGGAGTCAGTTCCGACTCATAGCGACCCTGTACAGGGTTTCTTAGGCTGTAAATCTTTACGGGAGCAGAAAGCCTCATCTTTCTCCCGCAGGACAGCTGGTAGTTTTGAACTGCTGACCTTGTGGTTCACAGCCCGATTCATAACCGCTACGCTACCAGAGCTCCTTAGTTTCTGTTTGGGGAGATGAAAAGTTTTGAAGCAGTGGTGAAGGTTGAAGGGGATTGTAATTAATGCCACTGATTTGTATGTTTTTAAATGGCTGAAGTGAACAATTTTACTTTACACGCTTATGTTTTCCCACAATAAAAAGTTTTTTAACTTACGTGAGTGGGAGAGGTTGGACCTCTTGTAGTTGTGCTTCTTAAAAAAAATTAACATCCTGGGGTGGCACCGTGGGTTCATGCGCCAGATTGCAAAGCCGATTGAACTGCAAGGTCAGCGGTTCAAGCTCACCAGCTGCTCTTCGGAAACCCTATACAGGGTCGCTGTGGGTCGGAACCGACTCGATGGCACTTCACAACAACAAACCATACCCAAACCACTGCCATCTAGTGAATTTTAACTCGCAGCAACCCCATAACTGCAAATCTTTATGGAAGCAGACTGTCTCATCTTTCTCCTGAAGAGTGGTTGGTGGGTTTGAACCACCAACTTTGTGGCTAGCAGCTCAACAACTAACCCACCACAACACTACCGGGACTCCAGCAATTCCTCTCCTAGGTCTACACCCCATATAAGTAAAATATAGGGACTCAAACAGAGACTTGTCCACCAGTGTAGACTACAGCTCCATTCAGAGTACGCAAAAGGTAGAAACAGCCCAGTTGTCCATCAACAGATGATGGCCCAAAAGGATGTGGTCCATACACACAATGAAATGTTACTCAGCCAGGAGGAGAAAGGAAGAAAGGAGGAAAAGGAGAAAGGAGAAGGAAGCATGCTACAACATGGATGAGCTCGCATGGAAATACTAAACTCGCAAAATAGATGAGTGGGACATACTAAAAATTAAAAACTTATATGCATCAAAAGACTTCACCAGAAGAGTAAAAAGGGAACCCACAGAATGGGAAAAAGTCTTTTTCAAAGATATATCAGACAAGGGACTCATTTCTAAAATATATAGGAAATTACAACACCTCTACAAGAAAAAGACAAATAACCTAATTAAAAAGTGGGCACAGGACATGAACAGACACTTCACCAAGGAAGATATCCCGGGCAGCCAACAAACATATGAAGAAATGTTCACGATCACTAGCCATTAGAGAGATGCAAATCAAAACAACAATGAGATATCATCTCACAGCAACAACAACAAAAAAAGAAATACTAAACTCGGTGAAATAAGCCCGATACAGAAGAACAAATCATGTACGATTCTACATATATGGAATATCTAGAATAGACAAAGTCGAACAGAGGGCCCAAGTCGGGAGGGGAGTGCAGTTACTGCTTTCTGAGTTTCTGTTTGGGGAGATGAAAAATTCTGGATATGGAATGGATAATGGTGGTGGTTACCCAATACGGTGATTGTAATAAATGATACCGAATTGTAATAAATGATACTGAATTGCACACTTAAAATGGCAAATTGTTAAATATATTTCACTGCAAAACAAAAAATCAACATGCACACTCATAAAAACAAACCTGAATTGGCAGAAATCCCTGCCCCTCCCTGGGCCTCAGCCCCCTTCCCTGTAGAATAGGGTGGCATGAGAACCAGAGAAGACAAAGGAAGGGCAACACCATTTGGGGCTCCAACAGATGGTAGTCGGAGCTGTCGGGGTTCTAGATAAACTTACAGGGGTCCCTGCCTTCTCCTGGTGCCCTGGGGGTACCTCTCAGCTTTCTTGATAAGGGGCAGAAGGTATTCAGAGTGATGATAATCTATTTCATGAGATGATGCATTTATT